CTTTGCAAAGAGTCATTCGGACTATCGAATTGATTGAATTACTGGATTTGTATAAAACATATATAATGTATTTAATTCACACATAGTACATGTATTTGGTTTCTTTTTGTTTATTATTATAAAAATCATCCTTAAAACCACCGTGTATTTAACATTCTGTTAATCTGAAATATTATTGAAATCAAAAACATAAAACAAATTATACAAAAGGAGATTAATTTGAATTTTCTGTGTTTTTTTGTAGAAAATGCAGTAATTTTTTGTTGTTTCTTGCTACCCATTTCATAATTAAGAGCACGATTTCGAACAGGTATTACCATAAAAGCTGACACTGCAACTCCATGTTTCACAAAATCGATCATTAATTTCACTAACAGAATCGCTATTCTCAAATGGAAGAATCTCATTGACACTCAGATTAACATCGCATAATTCATCATTTCCAGTAGCACATGCTTCAATTTCATTATTTGAAAGGCTTTTGTCCATATTATTACACAGATCGATAATCTTATGCAAAACATTTTCTCCACTACCTTTTCGGCTTCTGACATTTTCTCCCTGCAGATTTTCAGAAGGCCAAATGTTATTCCATGACTTTATTAAATCTGGGATGATATTTTTTCAAGCATCGTCAAACGAAAACATAACATCCTTTATATGTATAGATTTTAATGTTTGTGAAATGTCATCCGCGGAATCTACAATTTCTTCAGCAGATTTAAAAAAGTTTTATAGCTTGGATTACATGCTGATCCATCGATTGTAACAGTGGGGTACAATTGGGAGGCAAGAACAGTACCGATATTTGATTATCATCGGAAACCAGTCCACTAGCATGTCCTAGTGCATTGCCTAAAATTTAAAATGCTTTTGGGCTTAGATTGAGCTCTCTCATTTTGTGTCGCTCAGATGGAACAAAATTGAGTATAGAACCACTCACTGAAAATGTCTTTTATTACCCGCGCATTTTTGTCCTTTGTAGGAAACTGGAATGTCTGCCCAAAGGCGCGTGGTTTCACAATTTTACCGTGAACTAACAATTTGAGTTTATGACTTCCCGAAGTATTTGAACAAGGCATGAACGTTATTCTTTTTCCCTGGTGCTCAGTTTTCTGCAGAGTTAGCTAATGTTTCTTTTGGTAAAACTTTCCAAAACAAGCTTTCGTCAGCATTATATACTGTGAGCTTCCGTTCTTGAATTATTTTGCCCAATTTTTTCTTGAACGGTACAACAGCATCAAGGTCACTTGAGATTGATTCTCTGCTTACAGTCAACTGACGAATGCCGAATTGCTTCTTGAACTCTTGAAGCCACCAAGCACTAGCTTGAAAATCGACTTCGTTTGTGATATTCATGTAGAAAAACTTGGCTTGTTCGCTTAAAATAAAACCAGAAATCTAAGTTTTCATGTTTTCCTGCGCCGTTTATCTGTATTTCCATAATATTGTAGGATGGTATCTCTATTCATCTTAATATCTGCTACGGTACCTTTCCAATACGATATTCCAAAGATATACTCGAGTAACTTTTCTCAGTTGTCTTCTTCAAAATATCTATTTTGTCTTTCATTTTCAGTGTTACATGTTTCCTTTTTCGCATATTTATTGTTATTCCGTTATTAAAAACTGACAAGCTCTCCTCTAATATGCTGCGACTAGACAATATGCTCACATTGAGCAATATTTGTAAAAAATGGACAAAATGAGTTAAAGTAGTTTTGAAGTTACATAGTTGGCTCTGACTATTTGCATTTCATACTGATGTCTGGTACCTTTTTGAAAAGCAGCTCACCACCGGGTTTGTTGTACTTTGGAGCTCACCATCCTGTTAATTCTTAGGGCTGTGGCTTGTGCTGAGGAAACGCGAAAGGTAAAGCTTTTTATTTTTCGGAATGGCAGCTATTTTATTGCACTTTTGCACTTCTTATGACTGTAATAGAATAATTTTACTGCAAACTCCGAAAATTAATTGATCTCTCTACTTCTATTTGTTACGGTGAATGCAGGTGCCCAGTTTTCAGTGACTGCTAAAGCGACATAGAAATTGAAAAATCTCAAAAACAGAACGAATTACAGGTAATTCTGTTTGTATAGTAATTTCTCCACTGTAATGTCCAAAGGTAAAGCTCTTTTCGTATTAGGTACTCATTTTCTCAGTTTATTAAATTGCCCTACATGTATAACCTTTATATTATATTTTTGAAGGTTCATATCAGTGGAGTATTTAGTAGCATACTTCTGTTAGACTTTTACTATCACCTCCTTGCCCATACTTTAATGGAATCACATCCATACTAATTATAATTCGATGCTATTAAATAAATGATCTACAAATGTACGTGTGATGAGCGCATTACGCAAGGTGCGTCCTCATCTTGCTTTTACTTTCGAATCCACGTTCACTGAAATGTCAATATTCGACAAAGAAATGAAACACTGTTCAGTCTGGTTTTTGATTTATACTGACAGATTTAAACTCCATTAACATTATCTATCCGGTGGTCATCTGCTACAGACTAGTTTTATAAACATATGCGTCAGGTATAAGCATACCATCCTTTTAGCGGTTTTTAAGTAGAAAGTCTTGGGGACTTTCTTTGTTATATTCATATTTTTATAGCAGCTGATGATAGTCCTATGAAGTTTCACTGCAAATAACTAATGAACTAATGAAGTAATTATTGGTAATAAAGCTAGAACTGTTTATATACCAACAGATACGCCATCAAAGGATTTATAATTCCGTCGAAAAATAGGTTCAAGTGTCTTTTTTGTTTTCGCAATTAAGTTACGTTACTGTGTAGAACAAAGTATATGGTAAAAGCATTCCTTGCAAAGTATTGCGATCAGCACTCGGGAATTAGGCCGCCGTGTAGGACTATCGCATACCATAGTCCATAGAATCCTACGGGAAAATTTGCTTTATCCCTACCATGTACAACGAGTTCAGGCCTTGTTACCAGAAGATTATCCTCGCAGACTAACATTCTGTCAGTGGTTTTTGCACAAAAACATTGAAAATCCGGAATTTTTTTGGAAACATTCTCGCGACGGACGAATTTCCATAATACTCACACGTGGGCCCAAGAAAATCCTCATATCATTCGTGAAGGTCATTTCCAACAACGTTTTGTAATAAATATTTGGGCAAGTATTCTTGACGATCAGGTAATTGGCCCTTTTGAGTTACCCCCAAAGTTGCCAGGAGAAGGATACCTTAGCTTTCTAGTCAATAATCTACCAGAACTTTTGGAACAGACCTTAGACAACATGCCATCACAACGGAGACTGAATTTGTGGTTTCTTCATGACGGGGCACCACCACACATTTTTAGAGGCGTCATTCAGTATTTGAATGAACATTATCCAAATCGCTGGATCGCTCCTGATCCTCGAAAATGGCCAGCAAGATCTTCTGACCTCAATCCGATGGATTTCTGGTATTGGGGTGAAGTTAAAGAGATTGTTTATGGGGCTGGTCCAATAACAACTGAAGCACAACTTCGCGAAAAAACATTTAATGCGGCTTAAATAATAAATGGACAACTAGAGTAAGAAGAAACTGGATTCGTCGTAATGAAGCTTGTGTGGAAAGTGGAGGACGACATTTTGAATACCTTCTTTAAATACAAAAAAGTGCCGTGTGAGTATTAAAAAGAAAAACTATGTATCAAAATTGTATTCCCTATTTATAAGTGAATTTTTTTAATACGTTCAATAATCTTTCACACACCAGGTGAAGCGCTGAGACAGTTAGTGGTCGTGTTTTTTTAATTATTTGCATTTTACGAGTACATTATCAAATAATGAAATAATACCTAAGAGCCACATATAACAAACTCCATCTTTATTTACACTGCGTTCCGTCGTAATTTGCGTCTGGCATTGCGGCGTTGTCAGATTTTATTTTGCTTTAAAGTTGCTTTTCTCTAACAAATGCGGTTTTGACCCCATCTTATATGAAACTTTTTCGTTCTTTTAACCTCCTCTATCATCCATTTAAATAATGACTATCATAACGTATACAAGCATTTTTGATGAAATTGGTTGAAAAATTAACAGATTTTGGATTTTCTGATGAGTCTGTGAAGTTTATGATATCTTTCTTAACAGATAGGAAACAATTTTTCTCGTATAATGGGTTTGAGTCAGAAGCCTATGGAGCTACAACTGGAGCAGGGGTCAAACTTGGGACCGTTACTTTTTCTAATTTTTATAAATGGATGCTTTAACAGTGGAAGAACTTGGTTTTGCTGACGATTTAAAAATATATCGCTCAATATCTAACGTCATTGCTTACTTGGATCTTCAGAGCCAGCTTGACCTGATTCAGAACTGGTGTAACGATAATATATACTAAATGTAGATAAGTGTAAGGTGGTGAGTTTCACAAGAAAGAGAGTTAATATAAAATATAATATTGATGGAAAGGACCTGATTAGACGTAGGGAGGTTAGGGATTCAGGTGTTCTTTTCGATTGTTTTCCTAAACATATTGAGAAAACCGTATCTGAAGCATTTTTTTATACTCCGACTACCACGTAGGCCTAGGGCCTGAACACCCATGTGGTACCGTGGGGAAAGGGGGAACCCCACACGGACTCTGGCGAGGGAACACGTGTGCATGCAACATTCTGGCTCAGCCTACGAGATCCGCCGGGTGGTACCTCCGCGTTCGACAGTCGGAGACCGTCTACCACCTACGGACAATCACAACATCCATAGCCAATAGAAACATTTCTCCTGGGACGGGATTCGAACCCGCACAACGCACGGCGACTGATCAGGAGACCGAAGAGTCTACTACTGCGGCCACCGCTGCTGCCTAAGAGGTTTTCGATAAGGAAAGGAAAAGTTTTGACAATAACAGCACTATTGAAATAATTTACTTACACTAGATCGAAACTTGAATACGCCAGAATTATATGGAATCCATATTGAGCTGTATAAAATTTGGGTTGAACGATTTCAGCGAAAATTTCTCAAATTTATCGCCTTTAAAGTTGAAGGCATTTATCTTGAAAGAGGAATCAATAATTATGAACTATATAGTATATTTGAAATACGTAGTTTAGACCATAGAAGACATTTTACGGTGACGTTGTTTTTATTTAAATTACTGCATGGATATGTTGATTGTTGTGGTGTTCTGGGGCAAGCTGCTCTTGCTGTGCCTCCATATTCATCTCGGCGTAATACGACATTTAAGATACCTAGAGCTAAGACTAATATGTTACTCAAGTCCCCATATTATGTGTGATAAATTAAACTGTGTCTCCAGCCGTTGTGACATAATTTGTACACTGTCTGAGTTTATCAGAACAGCAAAGAGGTTATGGAACTTATTTTGAGTACTTTTTTTTGGGTTAATTATCTGCATCGCTGTTTAAGGTATTATTATTACAATATATTGTAATTATCCCTAAAGTTATTACATTGTACTGTCTTATCAACACATAATAGCACACAAGGGCATGTACTTTAATTGTTATATTATTCTGTAAATGAGAAACCGTTGGATGATAGAGCCATTATTAAAATTATTATAATAACAGATTCAGAATTTTCACTCATCATCCCTTCAAGAGAATAATGGGTGAATGGGAAGATCCAAGGAAACAGGCTCCAGTGGGGCGGAAATATACCTGGAAGGCAGGATAGCCTTGCGCTTGGTACCACACACAATAGTCCTCCAGGTAGAGGTATATGCAATTTTAATGGTGTCATATTCAGAGGAGTTACAACAGTGCACTGAGCGGAGCATGTTTACATGTTCCGTTAGCCAGGTAGCCCTGCAACCGGTAGCACCAGTGCAAGATCGCCTTTGGTCCAGGTATGCACAAGCGCTCTTCAGAGCTTAGCTAGATCTGAAGGATCCACCCAGCTTTGAGTCCCTAGACACAGTACAGTGCCATATGTCCTAAAAGTCTTGGCACAAAATATTTATCGGTCTTTTTTTAATGAAGAAATTTATTTATACACTAACTGGTTATCATAAATTACGACTCAATACCTAACTAAACTTTACTGTCGCCGTATAATTGTTCTTCATCTTTCCAGCCTCCATGATAAACCTTCCTAGACAGTAAAGCCCAAAAATCCTCTACTGGACGAGCTTGCGGCAAGTTTGAAGGATTATCGTTTTTACAAAAGGTATGTTGTATTATCGACGCCACTTTTGGGTATCTCTTGAGTAGTGGCATGATGCTAGGTCTGGCCAAAACATGATATGGTCATTAGCATGATGCTGGTGGATAAATTGAAGCAATTAGAAGATCTGTGTTGACGAGCCAGTCTCCTTGGTGACATTTCAACCTGATTTTTTGCTCTTCTCACCGATCTCTTTGACCTCTGTGCAATAAATAGGAGATTTATGGGAGATTCAGACATGGCATTCCCTGCTCACACTCCGCTATTGTTCGATAAATTTGTTCTCCGTGAAATGCTTTCATTCTAGAATATTCAGATTTCAGCTTTGAGTGACCGCCCAGTCAACTTGTAGATACTGTTTCTTATTTATAATTTATATGACATCTTAAAGCGAATACTTCAAAATAAATAAATGTCAACTAACAGTAAAGTAAGTAAACAAACTTTTGTTGCCAAAGGCAACTCAATATTATTTGGTCTAGTCTAGATAAATACCAAATAAAAATATGTTTCTGCTGTAAATTGAAATTGAAATTGAAATTGAAATTGAAATTCTTTATTCATGTCACAATACATAAAATATGTTTACATACGTCAGTAGATCAAATGAGAACTGCATTAGAATTAAAACAAAGGGAGTGCTAATGATCATAAAAAATTACAAACAAGTACACCAGCACTCATAAAGATATAACGCTAACATAACATATTAAGATTTATAGTTAAAATTTATGTCTTAAAAACTCTTCAAACGTGTAAAATGAGTTATTAATAAGAATTTTCTTGATTTGAACTTTGAAGCGATTTTAAGCCGTCTGGAAGTACATTAAAAAAGTTGACCGCCCAATAACCAGGTCCATCTTGACACCTTCTCAGTCGCCAATAAGGAGGTACTAGATTGTTCTTATGCCTAGTATTGTGCTCATGGACGTCCCCATGAGTTACATAGTTAGAGTTTCTTTTAACGAATAGTAGATTTTCAAAAATATATAAACAAGGCACAGTAAGGATTCCCAACTTGACAAAGGTATCTCTGCAATCGTCCCGGTAGCCCAAACGGCTTACAACCCTAACTGATCTTCTTTGCAAGGCGAACAGTTTGTGGACCCCTGGAGAATGCCCCCAAGCCAGAATGGCGTAGGATATATGTGAATGGCAAATGGCAAAGTAAGCCATTCTCAATATGGCTACAGAAACACAAAAAGATAGACTCCGTAACACATATATACCTTTGGTGGCCTTTCCAGCAACACTGTCAATGTGAAGGCCCCATTGCAATCTTGGATCCAAAGTAACCCCCAGAAACTTGGCTTCACCAACCAAATCACTGTCTCCAGGCAGGCTTCGCATGGAGAACACCATTCTCTTTGTCTTATCTTTATTTAGCAACAGCTTATTGGAGCAAAACCACAGCTCAGCCTCATCCTGCGCAGCCAGAGACTGTGCCATTGAGCGCTCAAAACTGTTAGCGCTGTGAGAGACGGTCGTATCATCCGAGAAGAGAGTAAAGTTTGCCATATTGTTATTGAGAGGTAAATCATTTATGTAAATTAAAAAAAGAATTGGGCCCAAGATGGAGCCCTGTTTGACGCCAATATTAACACTTCGCTCCGCTGATGCCACTCCATCACATCTCACCACCTGAGTTCTATTACTAAGGTAAGACTCAATTAGTTTAACGGAATCATAACTAAAGTTGTAAGCATGGAGCTTTCTTAAAAGGATGTCATGGCTCACACAATCAAATGCCTTACTAAGATCGCAGAAAAGAACCGTGTTATACCCTCCTCCATGGACAGCATCAATTATAGAAGAAATCAGGTTAAGTACACCCATAACAGTGCTCTTACCCTGGCGAAAAAAAAACTGATATTGTAAAAACAATTCATTTGATTCAAAAAAGGTTACCAGTCTAAAAGCCATACATTTTTCAAAGATATTAGTGATGACTGGAAGAAGGGATATAGGTCTGTAGTTCTCTGGTGAATCAACATTGCCGTTCTTAAAAATAGGTGTGACACTAGCTCTCTTTAGAACAGTTGGAAAAATATTTTCTCTAAGACAAATATTAATCAGTCGTGTTAGATGGATCAAAATTATGTTCTTTATACATTTTACAATTTTTAAATTGAAACCAAAAATATCTTTACTGTTTTTATTTTTGAGATTATCTATTAGATCGCGAACATCGTTAAATGTGACTTCAGAAAAAGAAAACAGAGGTGGCGATACCAGGAAATCAATATTATTTACATGATCTAAATGTACATCAGGGATGTGATTTACTATATTACCTGCTATGTTACAAAAAAAATTATTAAAGTCATCAGGTGACAGGTCGCTGCTCCCAGGGCACTTATTACTCTTACCTCTTTTTTTGTTAATGATATCCGACACGGTTTTAGCAGGATTACTTGAGCTCTTTACAAGGTTGTCATTAGCATATATCTTAGCTTTTCTTATTTTATTTCTATATAGATTTTTGTAGTTTTTATAATACTGGTCACTCACAAAACCATACTGCCCTTTCAGCTCTCTCAAAAACCTCAAATGTTCCCTCATTGCCCTTAGTTCGGTATTAAACCAGGAAATATTATTGCCCTGGTCGGATCTTACCACATAAGTTTTCTTTGGAAACGAGTATGTATAGGCTTCTTGAAGAATATCCATGAAGTGGCTAAACTTTTGTTCACCACTGGTACTATCAACAGTAATGAAATCCCAAGATATATCCGACAACCTACTGTGTAACATAAACAAACCTCTTTGTGTTACTGCTCTATACATTTTTTTATTTTGAGTAAAACCTGTGGTTTCACAACCAAGAAATTTAACCAGCTGACCTTTATGATCTGATATTCCAATATCACATACCTGAGAGCCACATAGCTCCATCGCACTACTAAGGAAAACATTGTCATGACAGGAGTCCCCACGAGTTGGTTCGAAGATTGTTCTTTCTAAGCCAAAGCTAGCGAAAAGGTCACACAATTTACTTATAGTAACATCTAATGTGTTGAAACTTACATTGAAATCCCCAGTAAGAATAATTTGCCTATTCGTACTCAATTGTGTTAATATTCCCTCCATTGATTCCAAGAAGGTATCAAAATTCCCTGAAGGAGATCTGTAAATAGTTAAAACATAAAAATTCAGACTCTGACAATAAACCACACAGTACTCGATACATTTCTCTATACAAAAGGCAGGATTAATACTTATAACACATGAATTAAATTTATTTTTGGTAAACATTGCAGTTCCTCCACCTCCATTTTTTCTTTGGTCAACCAATGTTCTGTCAGGCACAGTAAATCAATGTCCTCATCAGCAAGAAAGGCTTCCAACTCATCTATTTTTCTTCTTAGGGATCTCACATTTATATGCAGAATCTTTACTTCCTGCTGTTTAGGTTTTCCTTTACCATATTTTGGCGCTGCAGGTTCAGAAAATGGTTTATTAGGATGCCCCTTGGCCACAGATCCGGATATAAATATTTATCAATGTCATCATGAGGAGCAGTAAGTGAAGTAAGTGAAGAAATGAGCTGCAGTACTTTTCCCTCTTGGTTTTCATTTTTTCACAGGTGTATTCATTAAAGTTGTTTTCTTTCAGAAAATTTTTCACGCTTTCGATGGTAACTTCTGGTGCCAGGCCAGATAAAAACAAAGATGATACTCTGGATGGATACTCTGAAATAGCGGTCAATAGAAAACTCAATATTTTGATCTGACCTTTCGAATTGCTATACTAATTCGTTATTTCATTAGAGGTGCAGGCGTTGCAACTTAAAAAAGGAAACGCGACTTTTTTTTGGACGGCAAGTGCAGCCATAAGGTGAATATTATGCTAATGCGACATTTGCCAGTGGAAAGATTGTGCCGGATTAAAATCGACTTGGTATCGATTATATAATCAGGGAAATAGAGTGAGACGATAATTCAGCATGTCAAATTCACAACTGTAGCAATTAAAGTTTATTGTTATATTTTCTCTTCCAATAAACCATGTAAATCCTTTATGTTCAATAATTTTCACTTTCAGGTATTTGCAGAATATTGAACAACCGATATGCAGTTTGGTAATATCCATCTGCATTCTTGAATAAGTCGCAAGAAGATTAAATTCTTCAGCAAAATTGATGGTTATTTTTCAATCTATGTATCCTTACACAATTTCCGCGGTCTCTTTAATGTAGCAATTTTACGATTTACAGAGACCATGATGGTAAAAGTATGAGACAACTTATCTGCCTTGGTCTGCTTTACATATAGTTTGTAATTTAAAGGACCAACAAAACTTCTACTATATACTATGCTATAACTCCATTTAAGTAGCATTTGTACTGCATCATAGCAAACACTGCGCCAGATCTCTCATTTGTTGCATTCTCATTGGCTGTTTGTCGCATATCCAGTAAATCGGCCAATAGACGTGTCCCAATTTGGCGTATGAGAGACTTAGTTTAAATGCGGCTTAAATGTCGAGCGAATTCGGTATAAGATCGTCATATAAACGAGGTAAGCATAAATACCTTTCAGAAGCTTCATAGCTCCTGGACCTTCTTAAAAAGCTAAAGAAATATTGAAAACTTTACTTGCTATGTTCAGCAGTTCATCACTGGCGTATTTACATCACGATGGCTGCATATGACAAACAGCCGAAATTGAATTAAAATTCTGACACATAGTTAATACTGGCGAATTTAGAAGCAAATTAGTCCTAACTAGTTTTGGTGTATCTAGTTCTCAAACAAGACACAAAGAAGTTAATACTGAATGAAGTTACGCTGGTGGCGTCTAAGTGATCAAGTCATCTTCTGCTCTGCTCCACATATTGCTTGCGTCGGTTTCGTGACTCTGACGTATTGCATTTGTAGCCTAACCGTATCCTAAGGCTTTCGCAAGGTCCTGTATCTGATGTATTTTTCAGCTTCTGTCTTCGTTACGTTGGGGTCATTTGGAATTGCACATCAGTCATTAAACACTTGTTTCGCTGCCGGTCTTTTATAAATATGTCGGGTTTGTTTGCTGCTATGTGGCGATCAGTATGGATGTCTTGATTTCATAGAAGTCTCTGTGAGTGACTGATGTTCGTAGGACCGCTTTGGTACGTCTGCTTGACATATTTCATATAGCTTGGCGACATTGTCATGCGTTCCAATATATTCTCTCTCAGCAATCACCGAACAGGCAGAAATTACATATATGACCTATAGTTTCAACTGCATTTTAATAGACCCTGCGTCTTGGATCAATACTTTGTCTTAGGATAGCTTTGAATAGTACCTGGTATTAATGATACTGGGCTGACACAACAGGGCTTTCTGTCTTACCTTCCAGATATGGGATTGTCAACCAGCTCAATGATGCCTTTTTATCTATGTTTGGTTGTCTATCGATTGCGTCTCTAATATATTGTCCATGTTTCCAGTTATTCTCTATTTCCTTAGACAGTTTTTTGCTTGAAAATTATTTGACCTTGTTCAAATAATCACTCAGGTCTAATATTGAAGCTTTGTATACAGCTGCCAGTTGTTGTGGTCCACGGCCTCGTTGTTTTCGAGAGACATATAAGCCTATAAACATCTGATTTTGGATGATGAAGCTCAATTGCCTATTCCAAAACTATACCAGTACCGGGACTGCAAACTGACCTATTGCTGCTATCTTGTTTCTGCCATTAAGTTCTATCTGCATCATTTTATCAATATTATTATTATTCCACAAATCACACAGTACCAACTCCGCCCTCTGGTGTCCGAGAAACATCAACGTGGGATGACTTTCAGTTCAACAATGTTATTGTTATACATAAATGTATAATCATTTCTTATATATCGAAAGATACGGTCGATAGCTCTTTTCCGGACACAAAAAACTTTTTTTATCAATTGCCTATTACTAATAACATTTATACATCATTTCTTTTATAGACTCTGATGTAGATGTGGCGTGGGCATAGAAAGTAAAAGCTGCAAAAATCTTGTATATTGAAACCAATCTTGTGATACCTAGACTTATAACCTTATCAATACGTAAGCAGATTTTGTTACATTAATAGATATACTTTTACTATATTAGACAAGGATTCAACGATTTTTTATGGTCCTGCTAATATATGAATTACTGAATCATAATTAATTTTCTTTTCCTAATTATCCCCGACAATGGATCGACCTTGTCTATAAAGACTAATTGTATATGAGTAACGGTAGACAATTTAATCATATTATGTTAACAATTACCTACTGAACAGTTACCTTTTCTAGATATTTTTTAAAAATTAACGTACTACGCAAAAGTCCATTCATATGCGGATACGTCATCGAATGTTCCCACGACTTGAAGCAAATATAAATCTTTATAAAGCAATGTTTTATGTTATAGACAAGGTCTGATGAAACTGAATCTCAACTATAGAAGGTAAGCAAGTATATGCATTTTTCGTCTCTACCTACACCAAGGAATTCGTTGCCGTATCTCGATTCTCGTAAAAGAGAAGCCATTTTTCAGAAAAGTTAAGATTTGATGGATTTAGACCAAAACCTTACCACGATATGGTGTGTGAGATCGCGGACCACTCTCGTAAGGTTTACTGAAACAACGGCAGAGAATATACATACATATTTTAATTCCTACAGATAGTCAAAAGTAAATTAAGAAGAAGCCAAACGCAACTATCTAGCACGCTTGCCTATCGAAGAAGGTTGGAGTTACTTTTCCATCTCTTGATTTTATTCCACCCTTCTGTTGTAGCATTGATTCTGTTTGCGCTTAAGTCATCATCAATTCATTTCTTTTGCAAACATCACGAAAGTTACAGGTTTTTGTATATTTTGGGATACGAGACATTCTGTACAAAATTATCTAGAACTCTCCTTGGGCCCAGGAATTCCGTGATCTGAGACCTTGAACAATGTTCTCTATATCTAACGTGACCATAGGTCCGATTGTTTGTTCTCTCCATAACGATGTCCGCACCAAAAAAATGGGAACGCAAAATTGACCCCCTTCAACGTGGAAACGCAAAAGAACCCATCACTCTTCAGTTTTGATTTCCAGGAATTTGCCCTACTGATTGACATATGTAAACCGAAGCGTCGCTTTGAGCAGGGCTACATTTTTACAGAGTGTTCGGAAATAAGACAGAGTGAGCCTTCTGGAACGTCAAAACGTACTTTCTTCCCGCGCCATGGGAATAACAGTTTTGCCACTTGTCATGTTTATGGATCGCTGTTTGTTTACTCTATTTGGTTATCAAAAAGTGCAAAAAATTGGATGAATATATATTTTCCGCGATAAATGAGCTACCTCGTATCCACAGCGTTTCTTGTAATGAAAAAATGGTCGCCGAAAACGTAGTTAGAAATTAGTGGGATGTCATCAAGGCTCATTACATGGCTCTGTAATAATTCAGACGTTCTAAAAATAAAGTTGCAAAGTAAAATTTCATCTGTCAATCTACATGCCATTGCTGTTTTGTTTTGACTTTCACTATACGTATAGCAGACGATTTGTTTATTAATATAGAGTTTCGGACCACAAAAGCTACAATCTTTAAAAAAGGAAATCAGAGCGTTTTAATTGTAGTAATTATCACGCTGCATCTTGACATTGGAAGTTTAGCGATGATTGACCAATTAGTTGATTTTTATAATGATAGACGTGTTAAGGTGTTAATGTTATGGTTATTGCAAGATGCATCCGACTATTTGTACTATTAAGTAAACAATCAAGGTTTCAATTACTTGGGAATGCAATAAAATTTGTTGGAATAACTTGCAA